AATAGACTGACTTGCTTCCCTGAAGTGACAGTCTGAACATTGTGTCAGAAATGGTGGATTGTGGACATGTAAATATGGCTGATTTAGCATTTGATGTTGGAAATTTTCGTAGTTCAAAGAATAACCCAGTGGTGGTTCCTACCTTCAATGTACTGATGGATGTTTGTTTTCTATTTCCTGTCTCATTCTACCAAGTCCAAATAGAGATTCATTTAGGACCTGAAGGACTGAAAGCTGAAACCTGTGAATAATCTCCATGAAGGTCCTGTTTGGAGGCAGAATAGCAAGATACAAATAACCGAGTAATTAAAACAAAAGCGGGTTTTTTTTCATTGAGATTGGCTCCCCAAAGTTTTGATCTTCCCAAGATCCTTTTAACCGATGAGGCTGAGGACTGAAATTGGGACCATGTGCTTACAGAGAGTTATTCTGCTTCACTTTTGTTTGCTCCACTGATTGTTGTCGCTCAGGCAGTCCAGAATATGCCTAGGACTGGAACACAGCTGCTGGTGGGGATAAAAATGACAAAAGTGGGTGGAAATGAAAGGGAATGACATTGAACTGAGCTAAGTTGGTATGACTTATAAAGCCGAATATGAGAGCCATTACCCACTTTGAAGAAAGGTGGAAGGAGATCACCAAAAAGCTTTTTTTCTGGATTCCCATCTCAATTGCTAGAAGCGTGTTATGATGGGTACATTTAGAAGATTGCTGTTTAGTACCCAGGACAGCGTCTGAGTTCTTATGTGTGTGTTTTCAATACAGTGCTGAGCTGCGCACTGGCTGTGTAAGATTATTTTTTAATGTCATCTAGTGAATGGAAGGCTGGCTTTTCTCAGGTTCCTTCAATTTCATTTCTGGCACTTCAGTTATTGACAGATGGGAACCACATATATTTATATAGGTATTATCTGTACCGAAAACTGAAGGAAAGATTCCCTCTATCCTCCTGCAATAAAAATTGGAGTAATAGCAGTGAACAGAGGAGACAGGATTTTGTACTTAACCCAAAGCACCTGTTCTTTCCTCCCCATATTCAAGAGAAGAAGAGACTTCAGAATGAGTGCTATTGATTTTTTTACAGCTGAAGATATTTAGAAGAAAAATCTGTAGGCTAACAGCGTGGTCCACCGTGCAATTTAAACCAAAGAACTTGGATTTAAGACTGCCCAGCCCCACAAGATTCAGTGGGGATGAGTTGGCTTAAATCCAGGTATTTCAGTTGAAATAGGATATACACCAAGCTACCTGGGTGGAGATAAGCCCCGTTTTTCCCTCTTTGGCAAAAAGTTATTGAAAATAGTAAGTTATCTAAGTAGAGAGCATGTCCTTGTAAGGGGCATTTTAAACGTCTTGCACAATTAGAAGAAAAAGCCAAATAATTCATCATACGTCTTCCTCCTAAGACAAGTCAGTTTGATATATTGAGAGCCCAGAATGTAACAGTGCACTTAGTCTGCATAATGATGCTAATTTTGAAAATGCTATTGTTGGAGAAAGCAGAAGAATCACAACTAAGTTCTTAATTCCTAAGCAGATACTACCCCCAACCTCATTGTCCAAAGACCCACTAGCTTACCGCAGCCAGGTAGGGAAGTGGGACTCCCTTTATTTGGGTTCTTTTAATTGCTTCCACTGGCTCTAATTAGAGATAACTTGCTGTACTGGATCCAGGCTTTCAACAGCCCTGGTTTGAACTTGGGCAGCATCAGGTGAAAGAGTCTGACTCCACTGCCAGCAATATAGAGATGGTGTAGGAGCTTTCTACCCAAGAGAAACCTCCAGTGGTAGATCATTCTTTCCAAAGGAGAAGTGGATCTATAGCATCCTATGGAAGGTGCTATATAGCTCAGAGGTAAAACAAATGTGCTTTGCATGCATATGATTCCAAGCTCAACCCCCTGCCATTCCAGTAATGGTAGGAGACATTTCAAGCTGAAATTCTGGGAAAATCACTGCCAGTCAGTGTCAACAATATTGGGTCTCACTAAGGCTATGGCAGTTTATGATCTTTGTTTCTTGTCTTACTGTTCTCCAGATGCTCTCTTTAGGAGATTAAGTTTATGATCTTTGTTTCTTGTCTTACCGTTCTCCAGATGCTCTCTTTAGGAGATTAATTAATGCAGGAGTGGGCAAAGTACAGCTCCAAATTGAATGCAGCAGATGTTTTTTTTTTTTAAATTTTCACGTCAGAAACATTATGAGAGATTTCACTTATTTCCGTGGAAAGATAAACATTGCTTTTGGATTTATTTATTTTTTTTGCTCTTCTTATTAAATAAATCCCAGATCAAATAATACAATGGGCAAAATCCTGTTCATGGCAGTGTAACCTAAAGTTACAGCTGCATAAAGGTACTGGATCTTACAACACAGAATCAACGATTCAGTTGCACAATGGGTTGTATCATTCCATTGCCATCACTGCACAATGCACTGGCAGAAGTGCTTTGTGGATAGCACTTCTGTCTTAGTGCTTTTCTAGCTGCTGCGAGTATAGGACTGAGTTATGCCCGCGTATCTACACGAGAGGATTTTGCCCAGTTTTTCCTCTGTGTGGGTGTCTTCTTTTCTCTGAGTGATAAGATCTGCCATTGAAATGTGATAGACAGAGAGACAGATGATTTGCAGAAATGACCACATACCTTTCTCACCTCAAACACACTCAACGAAATGAAGGTATACAACTATGATGAACTAAAGCAAATGTTTCATAAAAACCAATGCCTGTTTAAATGGTGAGATTAAATTGTTTGTATATAAATATTACCTTTTATCTTCCATTTGAGTTTTATGTAGGATGAACACATTACTTTAATGACCTGCATTTAGAGAGGGAGAGAGGGGCACCCTCATTCCGAAATCCTCAGCAGCCAGATGGCTGCCTCGTCTTCCATGAGATTAAAAGATGTTCCTCATTCACAGCCCTTGCTTCTGAAGCAAATTAATACAGCTAACTAAATTGCTTGTGATTTGCTCTTTGTGTATGTGTGTGTGTAATAAAATTTGAAAAGAACTTCTGAAAGCAGTTTTTGTCACAGGTTCCACAAGCAGATTGCTCTCCAGGTACAGCATGCTGGTTTTAAACATTCAGTAATTAATGGAAAGTATTTCGTGTTAATTGACTGCTTCAGGAAAAGGAAGTATAATGGCACCTTATTAATCATGGAAAGAGACATACAGCACTGAGGCACCGCAATTATTGCACTAACGGTTGAGAAATGTTAATTAATGAAAAGAACAATGATGTAAGAAATTAGCTACATAATGCTTCCTGCTGGTACAGATTTGCACTTTAAATGCATTTTTTTAAAATCACAGCAACCACTGGATGCTGCCTGAAATAGCAAAAGTCCTCTGTAACCTTTTAAAAAATGTCACCTATATTTTGGCTCATAAACCCCGAAAACTCACTCAAGAAAAATATTGCAATAAAGCTTTTCTTAAGGAGTGTTGTTCAGGAATGGGATCATGCATTATGTATATGGACTAATTTTCCTCTTGGGGGGCGGGTAGGAGAATTACTTCATTATTGTTTCATTTATTTATGTAACCTCTCAAAGATAGGACAAAATAGGAGATTCTTGACCTCAAGATCCAGCCCTGTGGGTTTTACAAGGCAAAGCAGTCCATAAACCATGTTACACAAATGAATGGATGCCCAGAGGGAGTCCTAAAGGTTAGCCTGACCTGAAAATGGAGACATGTGCAAAACATAGCATTCTCCAAAAAAGGGTTGGCAAGTTGCAGGAATATGGGCTCCATCTTTCCGTGCCCATCTCTCCACCTAAACCCAGAAGAGACCATCTGGACACTGATTGGGGTACATGTATGCTTAAACACGCTTGCCTTCCACTATTCATCCAGTTTGACTCCAGCTGACAGCCAGTGAGCATGTGTGTTATATGGTCTGCATTGCAACTGGCTGTCAATTATCCTGTTGAATACATACATGTGCTGTGGCTTTCAACTGTGGGAGCTGCCACAATGGTCTGAAGAGGTGTCAGTGTTGTGCTTGATTGCACATAACTGGCACTCTGGCCAATCACCAGCATAGCTTTCAGAAGTTAGAGCTCTACATAAATGTAAATATTGAACAAGATACTTGCCATAAGATTTAGACTATACTAATAGAAATATTCTGTTAATAACTTCAGGCTTGTTAATTGTACAGCAATATTGCAGAAAATGATACACTCCGTAACATACTCGCATTTCTGTTCCACCAGCATCAGTAGCCCTACATTGCTTTAACCACATGCAAATTTCCCAGCTAGCCTAACTATGGACACAACAGGTTCAATCCAATATAAGTTAAGCAAACTTGAGCCTCACTGGTTTCCATGGAAGAGTTGCGTTCATGTACTTAATGATCTCCAGCTGAAATCACTGAGACTTTAAAATGCTTAGCTGTGGCCTATTGATTTCAGTAAGGTGGGATGGTAGCATTTCTACCATAACTAAGATACTTCTGCAATACTGTACCTGCATTCAAATGACAGACCATTCCATGAGCAGTGCTAGCAGACCAGCTCCTTTTCATTCCTCATTTCCTTTCTGGACATTATAAGAACACTGAAACTTTGTGAATATGTGTTTCTTCCCCCCCCCCCTTTCCTTTTTCTTTTTGTGCTGTGTCTTTTACATTGTGAGCTTGAAGTCAAGGACTATATTGATTTTTTTAAAAAATTGATCCATAAGCTGTTCTTGTAAGCATTTATTTATATGCTTTAAATAAGTAAATAAAAGGAATCCTTCCTTGTAGAAGCTTCTTTCTCTTTCCAGTATATCCCAGGGTGATCTGACACATATGGCACAACTGCATTTCTTCAAAATACCAACGATGTCTTTCTGGAACTGAAAAGGCCAATTTAAAGATAAACATTAAAACATTGCTATGTTTTTCTATGTCTTTTTGGCATGGGTTCCCTCCATCTTACCTGCTTGTCACTTACTATCTTGTCAAATGCCTTTTTCTCACTAGAAAATTCCTTTTCCAGGTGGAACGTCCTTGGGTTGCAAGGTGCTCTTCTTAGCTACTTCATCGAGCCAGTGTATTTGCATAGCATTATTGTGGGAAGCCTCTCTCACACTGGTCACCTTTCAAGGGTAATGAGCCATAGATTAGAAGATGTTGGTCATCTGCCAGCCTCGTACCGGCGCAATCAGCTGCTCCTGAGCGGTAAGCACATGCTCACTCGGAAAAATGAACTATCTCTTTTGCCATTGCTAATATTGTTGGGCACCTACAAGAAGCTGTGTGACGTACCTTTCTCATTTTTCTTTGGTTTTAAAGAACTTGAGTGGGGAATCTTTAGCTCCTCGCATATTTTTGACTACAGTTCCCACAGTCTGTTACCACTGGCCATATTGGTTGACACTTCATGGAACTGCAACCCAAACCTTTTGTAGAGCCAAAGATTCCCCATATGTGCTATCACAAATGCAACAATAATAATGCAGTAATGCAAGGTTTGAGAACCCACCAGCTTTTAGCTCACTGGATAGCTCAGTAGTTTAGATAGTTGGCTGCAGAGCCAGAGGTTGGGAGATTGATTCCCCACTGTGTCTCCTGTGAGTAGACTTGGCCTGTGTCGCCTTGGGCAAGCTGCACAGTCCCAGAAGTGCCCCCACAAGAAGGGAGTGGGAAACTGCTTCTGAGTACTGTCTACTTGGAAAATCCTAAAGGGTTCTTCATAAGCTGGAATTGACCTGACCGCCCATGATCATTATTATTATGAGAACCCACCAGCCAACATGGTCATTCTGAGTTTTCATTCAAAAACTAATTTTTTGTGAGGTTGAAATAACTCCTACCCACCTTACATGGTTGCAAGTCCATAGTCAAGCAGACCCATGAGCGTCTGGATACACCAATACCCTTCTAGAATCCCTCTCAGAACACAAGCAAACTGGTCCTTGTTCTCCCTCAGCTTTATATTCCCTACCTGCTCACACATTTATTTCCTGGACCTGGAGGATGAAGAGCCTATTTAATCATGCATTTGCAAGCATGTTGTCATTTGAATATGGCGGCCAACCTCATTACAACAAGGCAACAACAGCTCAGAATTTCTGGGTAAAGGCCAGCCTTAAGTACCGTGTTTCCCCAAAAATAAGACAGGGTCTTATATTAATTTTTGCTCCAAAAAAAACACATTAGGGCTTATTTTCAGGAGCTGTTTTTTTTCATGTAGATCAATCTACATTAATTCAAATACAGCCATGTCATCTTCTTCTGGTTGCACATTGTTCTACAATAATTCTCCACAATGGTGGAGGGTGGGATTTCACTTAACTGGAGCTTATTTTGGGGGTAGTGCTTGTATTACAAGCAACCTGAAAAATCATACTCGGGATTATTTTCAAGTTAGGTCTTATTTTCGGGGAAACAGGGTATAAATAAGTGTTAAATATTTAATTTATGCAAGGACAACACTGAACGCCTTGGGGATGAAAATCCTGATTGTTATAATAAAGGCCACACACTTGTGAATTTTTATTAATGAAATTTTTGCTGGAACCAGAGATCAAACAACCAAGGGCTTGATTTGGTCATAGAAGACTCTAGGAGAACACACTTTTAAAACCTTAAAGAAAGTTTCCACAACATTCAGTTTAGATGTAACTTATGCCTGCCCTTCTGAAAATAAATCTGTAGACTTCCTGAGAATCATTGCTAGGGCTGTCAAGTCCTCAAGGGCAGGCTGTGCATCGTTTTTAGCCCTGCTGTCATATATATATAATATCAGCAGAAGGTGTTGGAAGGAATAGAAGACATAACAAATACAGCATTCCTTTCAAATCCTGAAGGGGTAATTTTTGGATATTTGAAAAATAGCATTTTAAAGGAAGATTTGAAATTACTGATACGTTTACTAGGACATAGTTAAACAAACTATGGTGTTATGCTGGAAATCACTGAGTCTTCTTTTAATGCTAAATTGAAATGAATGCATCTGAACAGTATTATTTCTGATAGCAGTGCTATTCTGACCAAAATTACAGATTACGAAAGAATTAGAGAAGGTGATCCATTAGATACATTTGCTGAAAACTTGAATTAACTGTTGAATACAAAAGACTATGATAACATATAACCTTAGGTGCTATTTTTCACTGAGACAAATATCTGTCATACTAACATGTCTATAATACCTTTGCTTATCTGCTATTTACTTTAATGTGTGTTTTATCCTAAATACTAACATTAGTTATGTGTAAATAATATTTTATGTTTTGCATGTTCTTTGGTGTGGGTGTGGGTGTATAGCAGTTACGATGTTGTGAGATTTTCTTTCCCTAAATTCCAAAGCTTAGTAAATAGCCAAATCCTAAGACCCTGAAATGCTCAAACACACTGAACAATTTTGTCCTTTAAATCAGTGGTCCCAACCTTGGGCCTCCAGATGTTCTTGGACTACAACTCCCAGAAGCCTTCACCACCACCTCTGCTGACCAGGATTTCTGGGAGTTGAAGTCCAGGAACATCTGGAGGTCCAAAGTTGGGGACCACTGCTTTAAATGGTGTAACTTTGACACGGATAGACAATGGCTTTACGTTTCATCCAAATCCATTCTGTTGTATAACCATCAAAAACAATTTGCAACAAAACCATATGGAGGAAGCATCATTTAATAAACCACTTATGTAAGCACGTCCCTCTGCAGCTCAGTTAACTTTGACTTTGGCAATCTAAATGAAGAGCAAAGACATGGCTGTGATGGCGTGGTTGAACTTGCCCAGTCTTTCTCAGGGAGTAGCTTACAAAACCAGCTCTCCGTAGCACTATTTAAACATATGAAGTCGACTTTTATGATGGCCTTGTCCATAACTGCATTCTACTAGATTTTTTTTTAATGGCTTGCACTATTAAACATTAATAAAAGACATCTTTGACTGGCAAGTAAAACTACATAGTTGGAAGTAAGCAGTATGCAATAGAGCTGTCTTTCCATCTGACTTGGTAGTTGTAGATGTATGTAACACCACTCATCCAAAGACTTTGAAGCACTGCCTAAGTGTTAAAACTAAGCTAGAGTCTTGGATCATAAAATTTACTTAAGAACAGATTTAAACCTATTCCCCATTCAATGATGTGCTTAAGTACAGCAATTTAAAGGCCTAACCAAAGTTCTTGGAAAGTATAATACTGAACGAAACGGGGATCCCTTAGAGCAGTGGGAGGGCGCTAAAGATACTTGGTGGCTAACGACTGCATCTTGGTGCATATGCCAAATGAGAAGGTGCTGTTATTTGGGAGACTTGAGGCAGATGGTCAAAACAGGGCTCTCACTGGAAATGGAATTCTTACGTGGAATGTTCTCCTTTTTACAAGCCTCGTGGCGCAGTGGTTAAAAGGCTGTACTGCAGCTAAAACTGTGCTCACGACCTGGGGTTCAAATCCCAGGTAGCCGGCTCAAGGTTGACTCAGCCTTCCATCCTTCCGAGGTCGGTAAAATGAGTACGCAGCTTGCTGCCAAATGAGAAGATGCTGTTATTTGGGAGACTTGAGGCAGATGGTCAAAACAGGGCTCTCACTGGAAATAGAATTCTTGCGTGGAATGTTCTCCTTTTTACAAGTCATGATAGCATAGTATATCTGATTCCTTGTTAACTCTGGCCATGCCGTTGGTTGCGGAGAGTGCTTGTAGCGCTATGGGGCGGTATATAAGTCCAATAAATAAATAAATAAATAAATAAATGATAGCATAGTATATCTGATCCCTTGTTAACTCTGGCCATGCCGTTGGTTGTCTCTGGTAGGAGCTAGGAGTCATGCAGCGATACCATGGTCTGGGGGCGTTTACCTAAACAATATGGAGAGAATGTAGGAAACTCAACATGGGTCTGGAAATTGTTAATTTCTCTAGCCCTCCTAACAGAGAACAGACACTGAGGTTATAGAGAACTAGCGATCAGAGCTGAAAACATTTTACTGCTGGAAACACATGGTGCAGGCAGACTTTTGTATGTGAAAAGCCAGACTTCAAAGGAATCCTGTGCTTAAGTTATGAAGACTGGTCACAAAACCACACAATCTAATTTGCGAATTACATGAGGTGAGAAAAACTGCTTTACAGTCAAATACTTACAATTAAGAAATTCCCACTTCTAATGACAAGTTTATCGCCACCTAACACTTGGAAACATTCTCAGATTACATGTATCCTGTATATTCACAGCGGATTAGAAACTTAAATGTGGAACACAACTGATGCATCCATCTTAGAACTAAGTCCCGTTATTATTCTGTGAGACCAACTTGGTTGAGATCGTAGCTTCCCTCTGCCAGGGGGCTTCAGTGACCAACAATACAAACTGCCCAGGGTCAGATAAAAACAGGAGACATAGGGTGTCTTAATTTTTCAGGCAGACACATACATTTTACCACATACATTTTAGCTGTAGTATTGTGTTTGAAGGGTATAGGCTATTCATATGACCCATTCCAGTCAGGCCGGGTGGCTGAGGGGCCTAACGCCAAGAGAGGTCCAGTGGGGAAAAACTAGAAATCGGGCCTTCTCGGCAGTGGCCCCTCGCCCATGGAACAACTTACCTGCTGAGATCCGCCTGGCTCCCTCACTGAGGGCCTACAAGAATAGATTGAAGACCTGGCTATACAGGCAGGCCTTCCCTACAGCCATTACCTAGCCCATTTCCCCTTTTCTTTTCTTTTCTGTCTCTTTCTTTTCCTCTTTTCTTTTCCCCATCTTGGACTCTGTGATTAACTTGGATTTTACCTTAGTTTATTTTTTTATGTTATAGATAAACCACCCAGAGTAGACACGTTCTAGATGGGCAGTATATAAATCTAATAAATAAATGCAATTTAAATATTGTCTTTTAATGATGTAAAACACCATGTATACTCATTGTTTTCAGCTTTCAATATTGTCTTTCAATTGATGTAAAACACCTTGGGTTCTTTTTAAGGAGACAAGCAGAGTAAAAAAGATAGATAGATAGATAGATAGATAGATAGATAGATAGATAGATAGATAGATAGATAGATAGATAGATAGATAGATAGATAGATAGATAGATAGATAGATAGATAGATAGAGAGAGAGAGAGAGAGAGAGAGAGACAGACAGACAGACAGACAGACAGACAGACAGACAGACAGACAGACAGACAGACGTTCTTCTCTCTGATCTTCCACCATTGTCCAAAATTGAGACAATGACTCCCATCTGCTAGCTGTGGTATCTTGAAAGTTAAAGTCCCAAAATGTAATTTTTTTCCAAGGTCTGCCTCTGGGGAGAGGGGAAATGACATGTAGGGAGGTGTAGTAGCAGAAGGCAGCTGGTCTCCACATGCTTTTGCTCTGTGTGAGCAGACTCCAGCTATTGCAGTAACTTAACATTTCCACTGGGTTTTTTAATCTGCGGAGGAATTCATGGCACTCCCTTTCTTTCCTAACCATCCTCAGAGGTTGTCCGTCTCACCGTTTCCCTACAGGAAATAAGAAGCAGAGTTCTGGAGACGGTTTACCAGAGCCACACACATTGAAAACCTCATTGGGCAGAGGTGGGCCTTCAGGGCCTTTCAGAGGGGTCCCAGGTTCAAAACTGTGAGAGACAGTTCTCTAGCACAGGCCTGCCTTACACTACCCTCGCCAAATTCTCTATGCAAATTCCTTTTCCGGGAGCAGGGGTTAAGATTTATCTGAATGACAGAGAAATCCAGCTTTTGGAGTCTCTGCACAAAGTTTACAAATCTCCTGGCATTGGATCTCCAGAGTTAGACACTGTTAACTTTTTTAACAGCTCTCAGAATTCCAAGCCAGCACGGATGCTGGCAGATTTTGTCCAAGGAGGCAATATAAGTATTTGGATCCGCACATTCATTGACACCCTGATATTAACTTCTGTGACCTTCTGTTGTTTCTTCTTTTTTTTCCATCATAAATAATTATCTGTCTATAACAAGCATCGGAGGAATCCGATATATTTTGCTTTTATTTCCCAGCTTCATTGGCCATGCATGTATGCAAAGCTATTAATTCAACTGAACATTTTGCTTTCTTTTCATCATTAGGTTCCCCGCATCTGTGTTTGTTCTGCTATCTGTGGCTTTGTCCCAGACAGACCTTATCTGAGCATATGCCGTCATATTTTGGCACTCTTTATCCAATAAGCTTTTGAGTGATGGCTTGACGTGGACAGGCACATTAGTCTCAAGTCATACATTCAGATCTGCTTGCAATGGGCTCAAGACAGAAGTATTTAAATAGCATCTCAGTGGCGGCATCCACATTTATATTACAAAGCTTCAGCAGACTTTTAAAAAAATGAAGTACAAACGGATCAGTTAGCATGGTGGAAGAATTGCCGTTGCTATTAATCTGACATAAATGTGATTATGGTACCGATGTGAGATGATAACTCAATTATATTTTCATCTAAACACTCATTTGTGGTTATGCCACTTAGCCAGACAAATGGATGTTACTGTCAACGGGGGGGCCGAAAAGTGCCAGGCGTCATTAAAAAACATCCCACACACAAGTGTGTTTTACTAAAGCATTTGTACTGTACTTTGCTCCAAGACACTGTGGTGGGTGCTGTGCTTCAGCACCTCTTGTTAGACTTATAACTAGCTAATTTTGCACCCGCAGCATGAATATAAAATTGCACATCCTGCACTCCATGCTTTCTGCTGTTCGCTGCTCTCCAGAAGGAGTGGGGAAAGTGGAGGAGCAAAGAACATAAAACCATAGAGGTACACAATGCCACACCAAGTCTGAAATTTGCAACATGTAAGCCCTATTCAGTTTTAAGCCCTATTCATTTATTGCTTATCTGGATAAGCTCACCACACTCAGAGGAGAGTAAATAGCCAGGGGAATCTGGGTCTTTGCTATGTTTGTTTCTTGTAGTCCAAGATATATAGAAGGCTGCAGTTGTACCACCCCTGATTAATAGGGTCCTTTCTTGGCTGATGATAATGAGGCCTGCAATGCTAGGAAGTGATCTGCTATATTTGTGGATAAAACCCATGTTCATCGAGCATGCTGAGTCGTCAGTGGGCATCCCAACAGTCTGCTGATGCTTCCCATTTCTGGGCAGACGGTGCTGT